GAAGAGGAACAGAGAGACCACCAGACCCTAAGGGAGCTCCTGACCCTTACTGTCCAAGAGAACTTCTATACCCTTCACATCCCCCAGATAGCACACGGGGTATTTAGTCTGTTAGTATGCTCACTCTAGACCAGTGGTGGTGAACCTAAGGCACATATGTCACAGTGGGCTGTTTGTTCACTGAAAACTCTAAAAGGTTCACCCATCGCTGCTATCTAGACTCTTCTTTATTCTGCTCAACAAACCTCACCACCCGGGGTAACAGGTAAGCCCAGTGAGAAAACATCAGACCCCATTGTTGAAGATTTGGGTAATTTCAACCCTAAATGCACAGGCACTGTGCCCAGTCTTCAGTAGCAGAGAGGCTTAAAGGGACATTCCCATTCCCCACCCTCATCCATTCATCCCCATGTACCCATCCCTCACCACCCGCCCTTACACACTTACACACACAACTTCATATTATACACACACACACCTACATGCACACAAGCTGCTATGTGTGAACAGCAGTGCTGGACACACAGTGGTGACTGACAGGGACATGGTGTCCAACCTTCTGGAGTTTATGATGCACAGAGTTAATAATCAGACAAACTCCCAAATCAATATCTGATTTTAACCATGAATGAGTGTCATTAAGGGAAACAGCAAGGATGACGAAAGCCTATAGCAGGAAGAGAAGTGGTGGTCAGGGATGTTTCGTTGAAGATGTGGAGTTATACATTTTTAATATATATTAGAAACACATAGCTCAGGCCAGAACTCTGATTTGTAAGGCGTCTGTGTGAGCCAAATGGAGCCCCTACCGTGTCAGCTCTTTACTCTGCTGGTCAATCCATAGCAGCAACTCGGGAATTTTTAAGTATTCCCCCTACAAGAGGCAGAAGTAGAGATCTGTGCAGCAGAATCCACACTCCACCCTCTTCTCTTCATATCCAGCCCTAGCTTAATGCAGCTTTCTGGATTTTAAAGAAAAAAAATTTTTCAAATGGTCTGGGATTTTTGTTTAATGAGAAGAGATCATAAAAGGCCATTTCCTAAACTGAGGGAAAGGGAAAGGACCAGTCCTTTAGGAGCATTAAGGTAATTATTCTGCAGGGAGACAACACATTTCAGTAAATACCTCTTCAGCTCAAACAGACATTCTTCCGTTTGGAGTTCTGATCCGGAACAGTCTTCTAAAACCATCACTTTCTGTCTCTGTCCCACTGAGACTCAAAACAACTCAAATGAAAGCAAAACTGAAGTGATCCAAATCATAAAAGCCTTACAGTTTTCATGGGTTCCAAGAGTCAGATTCATAGAAGCATGAGTTGAGAGTGCCAAAAATGTAGGCTTCTGATCCAAAAGCCTCCAAATACCGGCTCTCCCCAAATCACGAGGCACCTTGGAAATCTGTACTGGGGCTTGGATGGGGTCCCAAGGCCGTGTGGCCATTTAGCCAGTCCTCCCCAGACATCTCATTTTCTGATGCATTCCAGTGTGAGCTCCATATGGGGCTCTTTGTTCCCCAACAAGGCCCATGAGGCAGCAGGCAGCAGAGTTTGTGCCTGAGAGTCAACGTGCAGTTCATACAAGTATCCCCCGAAGAGGCCTATGAGTCTACACCATCAGCTCTTTCCTTTTCTAGATAGGAACTCCCAAGGAGCAAACAAATCTATTTTTAAGTTAGGAAAGTGTAAACAGAGAACTGAACCCAAACTGAGTGTGCGGATCTTGGGAGGGAGCATAACAGCTCTTGTGGGAAGGCCAAGGCTGAATGGAGCCAGGCCTAAAGCGCTGGGCTGCACACAGAGCAGACTCACGGCTCGTAGGCATCTGTCCCTCCTGCAGTTGCACAGAAATGATCGAGACCAGGGTAGTCAGGTGGATAACAGGTGGACAGCCAAAATCAAACTGCCTCAGGAGCTTTAGGTTTACCCCCAGATCCCTGAAGAGGGAACACAAGGCTCAGGCTGTGGAGGCCATCGGACTTCCCAAAATCTACTGGAAGAAGGCATAAAGGCGATTTGCTCCATCAAAAACAGTTAGCTAAGAAAGCAAGTCTCCTCTTTGATAAAGACCTTGCAACTTGGAAAAAGCAAGAAGCACCAGGAGACGCGAGGCTTACTGGCAGGTTTTGGGATTGGAAATCCTTCCCACACACGGTTGGGAACAAGTTCCAAAGGTAGATCATTCCTCTGCCCACAGGCCATTAAACAATTTTCATCATACTTGTAAAATGTCTTAAAAAGGCAAGTTTTCAAGAGAAGATAAGAGCACTCTGGTCACCTAAACACTACCTCTATAAATTTATGACTTTCTTGGGCTCAATACGCAAGGCCACTGGAAATTCTCTGGAGGATGCTGAAACCTTGCCTTGACTTAAATCTTCTTATTCCTCCTTCTTTCCACAAATGTTTCTTGAGTATCTACTATGCATCAGGCGACACCCTAAGCACTGGGGCAGGAGAAGCTCATCTTGGGGTCTACTGGAGAAGATGAATGTGCAGAGATAGCACTGCCTATCATCAGCCACCACTGCAATCAGTCTAAGAAGATAAGATGGCCCTGCTCACTTGGGCCACATGGAGGGACAACACAGACACACACTTCTCCCACAGTGTTTTGCTTCTAGTGGGTGAGATCTCTATCAAGTATGCCACAGATGAAAATTGCTGTCATCAAAAGGAGAGCATCACTGAGGCAGCTGAGGCCAGGGATGCAGGGATGGGCATGTGAATCGGGGTGTCATGGTAGATGCCACTGAAAAAGTGACGTCTGAGCCAAGGCATGAAGGAGGTGAGAAATGAGTCCAGTCTGGGGGCAAAGTCGCAGGCAAAAGGAACAGGAACGGCGAACGTCCCCAAAAAGCTGTGAGAGCAGTGGGCAGAGGAGAGGGCACAAGGGGATCACAGTCAAGAGTAGATTAGAATCAATCAGTGCCCATCAGACCAGGTCTTGCTGACCGAAGCTGGGACCTGGGCTTAAACTCAGCACAGAGCAAGGAGCCAGATGGAAAAGAAAATGGAATATTATCCCATCTTACGGAGAAGGAAATCTTACCGTTAACACCACACAGACGGACCAGGAAGGCATGATGCTAAGTGAAATAAGTCAGCCTCAAAAGGACTAATCCTGCATGATTCTCCTCACATGAAGCATCTAAAATAATCAAAGGTATGGAAGGAGAAAACTGACTGGTTGTGACTGGAACCGAGGGCAGAGGGGGACTATGGGAGTTGTTCCATGGGTATAAAGTTATGGTCAGGCAAGATGAGGAAGTTCCAGAGAGCTGCTGCGTAACAGCACAAGGCACGCACACTGAGGAACGTGGTAAGAGGGCAGATTCATGAAACCTTTGGTGGTGATGAGTGTACTTCGTACCTGCATCGTCATCATAATAACATGAATATATTCCAAATACACCAAACTGTATACATGACTTAATTTTTTGGTATACCAATTGAACTGAGGAAATAAACACAAAGGGCCTCTCTGGCTGCTGCAAAAACAAAAGGTTTTGGAATGCCTGCTGCTGATGCAAGGAGTCCATCTAGGAACTGGGAAAGAATGAATTTGGCTGCAACTTCAGTGCAGACACGAGTGGCAGGGAAGCGCCCGCGGCTCACTCTCACACACCAGGCGTGTTCCTGACAGTTGGGCTGATGCTCCGCCCTTGTCTCAATCCTGGTGCTGTCCCTCCTCAGACTGACCGCCAAAGAACTGGGCACCAGTGCATCCAATGAGGCGCCGAAGGTTTAAGACAGGACTCAGCCAGCTCTTCCGGGAGGCCAGCCGGCCATTTCCACCCACCCAGGACAAGGAGCACCCGTGAGCGGATACGGTCCCTTCTTGGGTCCAGCTGGCTCACGGTCCACAATCTCACAAACACGATGTTGTGAGGCTTCCTATCCAACAACATATAGGGGTGTTTTGCGAGAAGGGCAAATAAGGTAAGAAAGCAAGAGTGGACTGCTTAAAAGCGTGAAGTACTCTGAAGCACACTCAGCTGGCCCCTCACACCCTACCCTCCTGCGCCAAGTCTGTGCCCTCTCTGCCTCCACATAGTGCAGGCTGCAGGCGGAAGATACCTTCGGCCCTTAGTCCAGGATACCACGGCCCCTTCTCCAAACACTTGCTCATCTGCCCCACCTACCAGAGGTCACGCTTCTTGTCCCCACCCCCTTTTCTAGAAACGTCAGCACAAGGAGATGAAATCACTAACGTCACCCAGCTCAGAAATGGTAAATATGCAGGCAGTGTGAGCCTGGCAAATTATTCTAGGAAAAGAATAAATAATATACACACAGCAGTACTTTTCAAATCTTCCTTATATATTCCACAAATACACATAGGCTCATCTTCCCCAAAACTCTTCTGAATTCATGCGCATCGGTTACTATTTATCATTAATAACACCAAAGGGTCAAATATTTCTTAGTATATTTTGGTAAGTGTCAGAAGCTTAGGTAAAAATGATACCGCATGTATTTTTATTCATGAAACAGGTAAAAGGAAAACCCTGGGAATGTTTTTGAAAATGCAGCTGAATAATCCTCTTATAAGTCAACCAAGACACCATGAAAGATTAATCCACGTTCAGGGATAAAAACACTTCCTATTCCCCACATCTGAAAAACTGCTGCTACGCCATCTTGAATTCATCTAGCACAACCACACTGCAACTGTAACAAAGGGTGTTAATAATGCAAGTAGCTGAAAATCACAGTAACAATAGCGACACAGCCATCCTGGACTCTGTCCACTGCGTGCCCAATGCTGAGCTCTGTAGCACTTCATCGCACTTCATTCTTAACAACACTGCAAGGTATATGCAATCAGCCCCATTCATTAAAGGAAGGAACAGATTTGTCAGCATCCAGACTCACTCCTCTATCCTTGGCAGCCCTGCCTTGCCACCCACACCTCCACCCTAAAAGTCCTATTCAGGAGGAATAAAAACCCGTGAAGACAAACCAGACATATCACTGGCTGTCAGCTAACGCAGAACTTACTCGCCAAACTTCCAGTTATTACTGCACGCAGCAGCTACGAAGCTAACGCGCCTCAGCGCCAAGTCCACCGAGCTTCGCAAGGGCAGTACTGGGGCTCTGCAAACCACATCCCTGCTTGGGCAGCTGTTCCTGCCTGGGGTCTGGCCAGTAGAGCAGGAAGGAGAGAAAACTCCTCCTTCCTCTTGGCCTGCCTGGTAGCTTCTTGTTCTCAATGCCTTCACCCCAGTGCACCTGCTTCCCCCTGGCAGGGACAGCTCAGGCCAACAGCAGAGAATGAACCCAGTTGGTAGTTTTCCCGACACTCACAGGACCAGGCTCTGCTTCCCCCGCACAGACCCCAGAACAGCACTGCTTTCCCACAGTCTGGGTCCTGGCCCCGTGGAACCTTCCTGTGAGCTCAGAGTCCTCATGGCCAGCTGCCATGCCCTCCTCGGAGCTCTGAATCCCAACCCCGAGGGCCTCTGCTCCAGGCTCCCAAATGGCAGGAATAACTTCCTCCCTTCCTCTCCCCTGGCCCACCCCAGCACAGAGAGGTGGCGTTCCCTAGTGCTCTCCTTTTGCTTGTGCATCTCACCAGTATCTGGCTGACAATTCCGCACAGTCAGGCCTCTCTGTTCACATAACTGGAGGGCACCTGCTCCCACCAGGCCCTGCAGGATCCCCAGGATGGGGGTTTCCTGCAGGACTTCTCAGTGTGCTCCGGCTGGGACACACGCTCTTCACTCAGCCACAGGGGCAGGAGGTTGGACACTAAAACCCTCACACAATCCAGGAAGTACAGCCTCCTATGAGCATTCGGATTCCAGGCACCTGCCTACACTTTTATCAGCCTGGGCCTGAGCTACTGTGACACTGAAAAGACCCTTTCAGACACCAGGGGAAGCAATGTACCGGGCTGCCTCAAACGTGTAAACTTCCACCCTCAGCCTCCCAAGGGGAAGGGAATATAGGTGAATGTCACCACACCCAGCTGAAAATTATGGTGTTTTGTTTTGTTTGTTTTTTGAGACAGGGTTTTGCTATATAGTTCAGGCTGGCCTTGAACTCACTATGTAGCCCAGGCTGGCCTCCAACTTTTGGTGATCCGCCTGCCTCAGCCTTCTGAGTGCTTGGATTGCAGGTGTGCGCCATCACACCTGACTTCAGTCTTGAAATAGTCATTCAAAATGGAGCAAGAATCTTTTTTTTTTTTTTTTTTGGTACCGGGGATCAAACTCGGGTCCTTCCGCTTGCACAGCAGGCAGCGAAACCATTGAGCTAAATCCCCGGCCCTGGAGCAAGAATCTTGTTGTCTAATTTTTTCTTTTTTTCTCTCCTTCCCATCATGCCCTCCTTCTGTCCCTCCCTCTGTTAGTCCCCTTCCCTTGTGCAACAGTTCTGTCTCTTTATTTCCTATTATCTGTCTTTCATTTTGTTATTTATTTTTTGGATTTCTCATAAAAGAGGAACCATGAGATATTTAAGCTTATGTGTCTGATTCATTTCACTTAACTTATGATCTCAAGGAGCATCCATTTCCTTCAAGTTTATCCTTCTTTATGGCAGTATATTATTCCATTGTGTAAGTATCACATTTTCTTTATCTATTGATCTGTTGATGGACATCTAGGCCACTTCCAGGATTCAGCTATTAGGAATTATGCTGCTATAAACATGAACTTGCATGCATCACTGTAATGTAATGTCTTTAACTCTTTCAGGAAGATACCTAGAAGGGAAATTTCTAGTTTTAGCTTTCCACAGAATTTCAACACTTATTTCCATAGTGGTTGTACTAGTTGACATTCCCACCAACAATGTACAAGGATTCCTATTTCCCTGCAGCCACACCATCATTCCATATTATTTGATTTCTTGATGACGGCCATGCTCACTGGAATACGATGGCATTTCGGTGTCGATTTAATTTACATTTCTCCACTGGTCAGAGATGCTGGACATTTTCCCTGTATTTATCAGCCATTTGTACTGAGAAGTGAGTGAAGATGAACATCTTCTCCTCTAAGTTGAGGGTGCTGTGTACTTTGTTCCAGCGACACAAAAGTGATTGAGATGCTCAGGTTTCTGACCATGTGCTTCCCAATCTGGGGGCCAGCGGCCGCTCTGGCCACTCCCATCCCTGGCTCCCGGCCAGGCCTAACTCCGCCCAACCCAGCTAAGCCAGGTCCACACTCCCAGTGCCTGCCTGGATCCTGCCAGACAGCGGGATCTGCACTGTCCCTCAAGGACCCTCAGAGCTTCCCCAGCCCTCCAGTTCTGGCCCCATGCCCTGTGGTGATGGCCCACTGTGGGAGCTGCCTGAGGGATAGCTTAGAACACCGGCAGCCTCAGCAGGATCCCTGGCCCAAGGGCAGCAGCACGCTGATGCTGGCTTGGTTGAGGTGACAACAGAATAAGCCAACCCTGTGGATACTGGCTTCACTCAAGGCCAACAAGGTACTGGAGAAGAACAGTGAACAGCGCAGCCCACGGGCCAGCCACATCCGGCACAAGGCCAGCTACGTGGGGAGGTGAGGGGAAAGGAGAACAAAAGATAGGAGGAGGGGAGAGATACGGGGCGAAGAAAGAAGAGGCGGGGGTCCTGCACTGTGCAAAGGCCTGGCCCCAACCTCGAGATCCTGTCACCGCCCTTCCTGCAGGGTACCAGAGAGGTGAGGATCCCTGCACTCTGGCAGCTGCACACGGCAGACTCTGCTCCTCATGCGATCCCATCCCAGGGCCGGGGGCTGGCTCGCCCCAAGGCATGGCAGTGGAACATAGTCTGGACCCCCAAATGTCCAGCTAGGCTGCCAGGCGCACACAGTGCCCACTGCCTACCCTCCCTAGTGTTAGCAGGAAGGCTTCTTGATCAATGCAAGGGGAACCCTCCTAGCACCCACAAGACACTGGGACCCACACACATTAGAGAACCCTCCTTCCTCTGTGGGTTCCACAGCACCTGCCCTCCCTGTGCTTCCCCCCACACACATAGTGCTCACCTGGAATAGGGCACCACACCCAAGAACGGCCCACTAGCAGGGTCCAGAGGGAGCTACCTTTGGAGGGGCCACTCCGGGCCTGGGTTCTCCCAGACTGCCATTCACTGATCCTGTGCCTCAGTTTATCCCCTGGCGGCCTAAGGTAAAAATCACACCTCACAGGCTCAGGGGCCTGCAGAAACGACTCCATCCCGAAGCTCCCCACCGCCACCCCACCCCCCCCAACCAGGGGTAAGTGCTTTGGGGTGAGAGGAGGGAATGGGGTCAGGGCACACTGTGGGTTTGAGACCACTGAAGCTCTCTGTAACTGTGGCACAAGAAGGCTTGCCAGGTAGGGGTTAGAACAGCCTAAGAGCAGGAATGTGCCCCCAGGGACCCTGAAGTCAAGAACCAGCATCTGGCCGCCCTACCTTACTGCCTGCCCAACCGGAGACACTGTGGAAGTCCTTAGGTGTGGGGCAGGAAGTTACAGGTGTAACTTTCTGTGCCTTTGGGGAGGGGGAGGAGGAAGGTGCTGAGTGCTAACCACTCTTCAAGGTGTTTCTTTGCTTCAGGTGAGCATCTGCAGAGAAGACCTCAAGGAACCGGTTTAAACCAACTGAAGCTGCCCAGCCCTTCTTCCAGAAGACCTAGACTAACTCTCGCTTATTATAATTCATCGCATCCTAAGCTGGGCAGGTGGTACATGTCTGACATCCCAACACTAGGGGGCTACGTGAGGAGGACAGCAAGTTTGAGCCCAGCTTGGGCAACTTAGCGACTTATCAAGACCCTGTCTCAACTAAAACTGTTTATGAAAAGAGGCTGAGCCTGTAGCTGGGTGCGGTGGCTCTGACACAATTCCCTGGTATTGGAATAAAACCCCACACACATAATGCTAAATTCTCCACCCTACAGTTTTGTCTCCATCTACCATTTTTAATATGCAAATTATGAAGGAGTTAAAAAGACTTAGAATTATATTTGAGAACATAGGAATTCTAAGTCTTTTTTAACTTTTCAAGGAGGAGAAATGATATATAGTTAGGGCACTTCATCATACTTCTTTGAAGAAAGTTCAATAGGAAACAAGACTTTTTGAACAATAATAAGACAGTACAAATTTAGGACAAAAATTTCCTACAAGAACTCTGTCAGATTTATTTGAAAACACTTAATTAATTGATTATATGATGTTATTTTCAATATTTTTACCAAAGAGAATGATCATAATTAATTATTTGATGAATGTTTGGGCTTCACTATAATAAAAATGAATTTGGACAAAAATAGCCTAGACAAATCCAGGAGCTATAGAAATTGTATATGACTTAGAAAACCTAAAGCAATTAGAATCTGGAAAACAGTTTCCCAATACTTAGAATAAAAATTTGGCTGGTAGTAGATCCCCAACAACACTGGAAAGAATGCATGAGCAAATTTTGAATGTTTGTTCAGTGGAAACAAACAGATGGGTAATACACCTTTTTATGCTATGGAAAGTTCTCTTCTTGTCCTTATAGGATGAAAGAACGTTAGATAGAAAACAGTTTGGCTTTGCAGATGCAAACATGTTGAGGTACAGCTTGTCAAGGCAAAGTATTTCTAAAAACACTAAGTTAGCAATGAAGAAAAATATTTAATGAATGAAAATTTATACTTGTCAGATGAGACAATGTGATAATTTTTAAAGTACCAATCTCCCATCATATCAAAGAAACCTAGGAATGGCCAGTATTCAATGAAATTGGGGTGGTGACAATAAACCATATCTGCCTGCATCTGAATGAACCATTTTGAAGGCTACATTCTGGTCTTAGTCATTGTTATGGCTGTGTCTAGATGTCCCCCCAAAGCCTCATGTGGTCATAGGTGGGGCTTTTTCAGAGGTGGCTGGATCTAGCCTGTGTGATGCTGGAATTAATTCATGGTGCAATGCTAGGATCCAGGGCACTAGGACTAAGGGTGTGAGTGCTATCCGCCCTAAATAGCCAGGATAAGATATAAGGGATATAAAGTGCTCTGGTCATCCCTTGTTGCTTTGCTGCCTTCTGCCAGCCATGAACTGTTTCTCCTCTGTGATGCTAGTCTGCCTTGGACCCAGCCAATTATGGACTGAAACCTCTACAAACTGCGAGTTAAATAAACGTTTCTTCCTTTAACTTTGGGTGTCGGGTATTTTGTCTCAGCAATGAAAGAAAAGTACCTAA